TAAATTTACTGTGTGAATCGTGCAGCAATGTGTATCATTCCGTTAGGTGTTGTCACTGGCCTCTTGGTCAAAATCAAACATTCAGAGGTGAAAATATCGCGACAGGTGAGATGTTATCGGCTGTGAAATATTCATCGTAAGCGTATTTTCCCTATGATACGTTGCCTAAGTAGTAGAATATTTGAGCCAACAACAACATTGATCTAAGCACTTATGCAAGAGACTTTCTTTATTGAATTATAAAACACACTTCACAGATACAGATCACAGTCATTTGGTAGAGGTTTAGTCTGTGAGGATGAGTCGTCCAACTCTGCTGGTGCTGACCGTTTTCATCCATGGAAATCTATTATTGGCCGTGAAAGGTAAAACTGCATTACCACTGCAAATACTATCAGTTACGAAAGCAAATTGCATCTGGAACCCTAGAAGCAATTTAGAAAAATATGGCAAAGAAATTTATATTTTATTGTCTAACAAACTAAGGCTTCAAATTGAATTAAGTCTTTATTCTTCAGCCTTCGTTTGGGTTTTTTAGGCAGACCTCACTGCTGATCTCAATGTAATTTCAAGTTTCTTGAAATAGCTTTTGTGCTACTTCATCCACAAATTTTGGAAAAACTGCAGTAGAGCAAAAATAATTTTGCTCATGTATCAACTTTGTTTAAGTCTTGCGTCGTCAAACTTTGCTGGTTAGAACAAAAGTTGGCAAACACGAAGTCATTTCTTCTGATGATAAATTCATGTTTTGAAGATAGGGAGTAATGTGGGAGAGGAAAATTGTGTTTCCTACACAGTCTGTTATGATCATTATTCTATTCGTCAGACCTTAATTGTTGATTCGGATAGGATCGCTATCAGAGATTTAAGGGAAGCCCATGTTTAGAACTTCGTCATAAACGTCGCTTTGGAATGTTTTTGCTAATAGGGTTCGAAATGTCTCATCATCCATTTTGAAATGGTTTTCCATGTGTAATAAATGTTTCGACTTAATTAAAAGCCCTTGAGAGTTACAATAAAGAATTAAAAAGCTAGATAACCACCACTTACCTTCTTTTAAAGTAGCATTGGTCATGTTATACCACTTTCTCGTCTAAAAACTGTTTTCATAGAAATGTAGATCTCGACATTAAAAAATACTTTGATTACTTCATTTTGTAAGTCATGCAGTTATGTACCGTCCGGCGATGTTAATAGATATTTCTTGCCCTCTGCCTCAAGCTTAAACAAAAATAAAGTAAAGCCGCGTGGCAAGTATTAGCTCGCAGGAAGATCATAAGTAGGCCCCATAAGTGCACATCAGTCATGAGCAAGTTGAACGTTCTGACCTGACAAGTCGTAAGGAATGTCATGTCTGACCCTTTAGTTTCTGCTCAGAGTGC